AAATATCAGAGGAAATTACCTATTTTTTTTTGCATCACTCTCATCCATACTTGTATCATCAAATACAAGCTCTTCAGCATTCACAAGTTTGTTTATTCCATCAATAAGTCCACCTGCCATATATATATATATACAGCATGTTAATTTAACACAGAAACAAATCTATTTGTAGTTCTAGATACATAGATATATTTCAGTGAGATTATGTTCTTGTGAAAGGTAAATAACTGTTTTTAGTACAAATATGATTAAGACTTCTCAACAAGGGAAAAAGACAACCCAGGGAAAATATGACAGAGGTCTACAAAATACTGGGTAACACAGAGAAGGTGTGTAGATACTTTTTTTTTTTTTTCAATACAAGAACTAGAGGCCATCAAATAAAATTTGTTCAAAGAAAACATTAGGGACTAAGTAGCATAATTAAATTTATGTAACTAAACTGATTACTATCACTTTCACTTTGAATATGGAATTGCATTCTAGCAATACAATAGTTTCCAAACTGTTCAAAATGGGTGATCTTCCTTACAGAAGAGGCAGACATGAGCCCCTTTGTTTCAGTTTCTGATCTACATTTATCAAAAATATTACTTTTATTGCCAATCATAGCGCACCTTCTACATTTTCACTTTGCAGACCCCTCATGTGCAAGTTTCTCAGGTTTGTCATTGTTGCAGTCTGTTGTTCATTTTCTAAAGCAAGAGCAGTGGACTCCCCAGAATGATCTTGTGAGTTTGCACAGGTTTCAAGGACTTCTCTTAGTGTTCCTGGCACATGAACAGGTACTTGGTAATGTTATACTGACTGTTGGGGAATGTTGCTCTATTCCTTTCTCTCCTTCTTCCTTCCCTTTCTCCCACTGAGCTACACAAAATGCAACTTAAAGCCACCTGTTTAACTGGTTTCAACACACACAGAATTTTGTGGGCGTGTTTAGTATTATTTTAGTGCTTCAGTGAAGACCCTTGTAAGCTAAATATTGCCTAGTTTTAGTAAATAAGAGGTCTAATAATTGAACCCATCAGGAGAGAGGCCCTGGTTCTTCAAAGCACAGACAACATAGAGAGCTAGAGAGCTTGTCCGCTTGTTATAGCAGGGACTGGCAACAGCGTATCTGTCATGTTATTTAAAAACTGCTCTGGTTCTTTGCTGGACTCTTGGCAGGACAACCTAAATCAGGCTTCATGGGGCTACGATCAGCCATGAATGGACTATTGGACTATTTTGCAGAGCCCTGGTGCCAGGCTTGCCTTGGATGTCTCACACTGTAGGAAAAGCTTTCAACTTTTATCCTATTGCATCTATTAAAAACCTGCAAGCCAAAAGACAATTTTCCTAAAGAATATGTCACGTGCTGCTGTATTCTCTGCCAGATTGGTCACTATGCCAGACTCCCTCGTAGCCAAGGGAATTACAGGATGGCAGTCCAGAAACCTTGGACAGAAGATCTGAGCAAATTGTCTGTTGGGGAACTAGGTGTAGTTGAACCCTGTGGAGCACTGATTTGGGAGGACCAGAAAGGCACCGTTAGCACACGGAACAGAGCAGCAAACGCAGGAAGGCTACATGGGGTGTTGAGAAGGAGCAAAGCTGCCAGAATGGGAAGAAACAAAAGCAGCTGGTTTGCAGAAAACCATGATGATGTGGGGAGAAGGAGCCCCGTTACAGCCCGTGCAGGGACGGGGACACGTCCCGATCCGCGGGGCGGGAGAGCCCCTCCCGCTGCCGCCCCGTTACAGCCCGTGCAAGGACGGGGACACGTCCCGA